AAAGTTATAGACTAAATCATACCCGAAAAAATCTCGTTTTTCAATAAATATAGATCTTATTAACCGTCTTTTTCTGAGTCCTGAACCTTTTATAACGGGATATATATTATTAAAACCTGTTTTTGATTTACGTGAATAACACTGAAATTTAAAAACATACATTAATAATTTTGATTAAATTTTATATTGAATTGTTATTTTATTTTGTTAACAAACAAGTAAAAAACATTAAGTTCGGCCGGGCCGAACTTTTAATAACCTCAACATTAGGGTAATGGAAATGCACACAAATATTCATCAAAATACCGAATATAGGGAGGTACCGCTGTATAGGGCTATACAAAAACGTGGAAATATATATACGATGATTCGCCAACGGAACTAGAACCTATTATGACCAACAAATACCAATTTTCAGACAAATCCGTGAAAAAAGGTTGCAAAAATCATCAAATTACCAAATATCGGGAGGTACCGTTATATGGGGGCTATACCAAAACATGGACCCTTACATGCAATGTTTCGCCACCGGAGCTGGAACCCATTATGACCCACAAATGCCAATTTTTAGACAAATCCGTGAAAAAATGTGATCGTAAAAGTTTTTATGGGAGAATTCAAATATACACCCTATGATTATAATTATAATTTAAAATTTAAAGGACTAAATACGCCGAAGCATTTGTATCTTTTAAATTCGGACTTGTATTGCCCATTTGGTGCAAAATTAATTCTAAATCAGATAAAGATATATATGGGAGCTAAATCCAAATCTGAACCGATCTCGATAAAGTTTGGCAAAGATATTTCTGAGCTGTATTTGATATATTTCCCTGAATATCGTTGTTACGGAGTGCATATTACGGCTGTGGGTAACAAATACAACAAATCGGATGAACAATATATATGGGAGCTATAGCTATATCTGAACCGATCTTCACCAAATTTGACATACCAGCTTCTAGACTCAATTCGGTCGTATGTGCCAAATTCCATCCCATTTGGACAAATATTAGACGTTTGGTGCACAATAAAAGTAAATCGGACGAAGTTATATATGGGAGCTATATCCAAATCTGAACAGATTTAGCAAAGGTATTTCTGAGCTGCATTTGGTATATTTCCCCAAATATTGTTGTTACAGAGTGCATATTACGGCTGCGGAGGACAAAAATAACAAATCGGATGAACAATATATATGGGAGCTATAGCTATATCTGAACCGATTTCCATCAAATTTGGCATGCTTATTTTTACACCCTCCACCATACTATGGAGGGTATATTAATTTTGTCATTCCGTTTGTAACTCCTCGAAATACTCATGTCAGACCCAACAAAGTATATATATTCTTGATCAGCGTAAAATTCTAAGACGATTTAGCCATGTCCGTCTGTCTGTCTGTCTGTCTGTCTGTCTGTCTGTCTGTCCGTCTGTCTGTCTGTTGTAATCACGCTATCTTTCGAACAAATTGAGATAAAAGGCTAAAATTTTGCACACATGTATATTTTGCCAGTAGGCAGGTTAAGTTCGTAAATGGGCCATGTAGGTCCAAGTTATCATATAGCCCCCATATAACTGTACCTCCCGATATTCAGTATTTTTATGATTTTAGCGACATTATTCACCGGAATTGTTTCAAATTTGGCATTTGAAGTTCGTAATGGATACTACAGCCTAAGACAGAAAATTATCTGTGCAGGTCCACGTCTTCGTATAGCCCCCATATAACGGTACCCCCGATATTCGGTATTTTGATGATTTTAGCGACATTATTTAACGGAACCGTTCCAAATTTGGTATTTGAAGTTCGTAATAGATACTGCAGCAGAAAACAGAAAATGGACCATGTAGGTCCACGTCTTCGTATAGGCCCCATATACCGTACCCCCCGATATTCGGTATTTTGATGATTTTAGCGACATTATTTACCGGGATTGTTTTAAATTTCGCATTTGAAGTTCGTAATGGATACTTCAGCCCATGCCAGAAAATTGTCTGTGCAGGTCCACGTCTTCGTATAGCCCCCATATACCGTACCCCCCGATATTCGGTATTTTGATGATTTTAGCGACATTATTTACCGGAATTGTTTCAAATTTGGCATTTGAAGTTCGTATTGAATACTACAGCATAAAACAGAAAATTATCTGTGCAGGTCCATGTCTTCATATAGCCCCCATATAACGGTACCCCCCGATATTCGGTATTTTTATGACTTTTGCGACATTGTTTACCGGAATCGTTTCAAATTTGGTATTTGAACTTCGTAATGGATACTACATCCTAAATCAAAAAATGAGCCATGTAGGTCCACTTCTTCATATAGCCCCCATATAACGGTACCCCCCGATATTCGGTATTTTGATGATTTTAGCGAAATTATTCAGCGAAATCGTTCAAATTTGGTGTTTGAAGTTCGTAATAGATACTGCAGCATAAAACAGAAAATGGGCCATATAGGTCCACGTCTTCATATAGCCCCCATATACCGTACCCCCCGATATTCGGTATTTTGATGATTTTAGCGACATTATTTACCGGGATTGTTTCAAATTTCGCATGTGAATTTCGGAATGGATACTTCAGCCCATGCCAGAAAATTGTCTGTGCAGGTCCATGTCTTCGTATAGCCCCCATATAACGGTACCCCCCATATTCGGTATTTTAATGATATTAGCTAGATTATAAACAGATTTTTCTTCAAGTTTCGCATTTAAATAGTGTAATAACTTATGACAAAAGTTGCCTATGCTGGCCCACGTCGTCGTATAAGCATTCGGTATTCTTAAGATTTTAACAGAATTTTTAACGGATTTTATTTATTAGAAAATGCCAAATTTGTACCAAATGGTGGAGGGTATTAAAAGTTCGGCCCGGCCGAACTTACAGCTTTTTTACTTGTTAGGCCTAATTTGGTTGCATGTGCAAAATTCCATACTATTCGGTGATATTACACGTTTGGTGCACAATAAAAGGCAAATCGGACGAAGATATATATGGGAGCTATATCTAAATTTTTACCGACTATCTCCAATTTCAATAGGGTTCGTCCTTGGGCCAAACAAATGTTGTTTGGAAAATTTCATCTCAATCGGATAATAAATGCAACCTGCATTTGGTTCACAAAAATACATGGACAGACGGACGGACAGACGGGCGGACGGACCGACGGACAGACGGACTGACATGCATAAATCAACTCAGAAAGTGATTCTATGCAGATCATCAAAAGGAACTATGGGTCTATCTCGTTTCCTTTTGCCTGTTACAAACAAATGCACAAAGACATAATACCCTGACCACCTTGTGGTGTAGGGTATAAATACCGAATACCTATACGACGACGCAGACCTGCATAGGCAACTTTTGTCATAAGTTATTGCAATATTTAAATGCGAAACTTGAAGAAAAGTCTGTTTATAATGTAGCTAAAATCATCAAAATACCGAATATAAGGGGGTACCGTTATATGGGGGCTATACGAAGGCGTGAACCTGCACAGACAATTTTCTGGCATGGGCTGAAGTATCCATTAACGACTGCCATTTTTGAAGTTTTTCAAAGCAAATATGAATCAAGTCAGTGTGTTTCACTTTGAAGGAGTACTATTAGTGAGCACGTGTTTATTGCCGTTCAGTTTTCAGCAATATTAAAAAATCAGGGTTTTCTATAAATGGTAAAGTCATTTCATATACGCATATCCATCTCTGCATTTTGTGTAATATACTCTGTCAAATTTCCCTGCCTAGGAAGCAAGTTTCCATCTCTGATTTGTATATACAATGGATTTATAAATATACATTTTGACAATGAGATGTCAAATGCATAACTTAGAAAAAAAAAAAACAAGTAAGAAAGCTGTATGTTCGGCCGGGCCGAACTTTGAATACCCTCCACAATTTGGTGCAAATTTGGCAAATATCAAAAAATTAAAATCCATTAAAAATTCTGTTAAAATCTTAAAAATACCGAATGTAGTATATTAGGGTCTATACGAAGATGTGGACCTGCACAGACAATTTTCTGTCGTAGGCTGTAGTATTCATTATGAACTGCAAATTCTAATTTTAAAATAGTTCCGGTAAATAATGTCGCTAAAATCATCAAAATACTGCATATCCGGAGGTACCGTTATATGGGGGCTATACGAAGACGTGGACCTACATGGCCCATTTTCAATATCAAAAGTCCTGCAGGCATAATACACATTGGAGTAAATTTTTATCAACTTACTTCATTTCGTTCGGAGCTAGAGTGATTTCCACAGACGGATAGACGAACGGACATTGTTAAATCGACATAGATTTTTATGCTGATCAAGAATATATACTTTGTGGGGTCTAAAATATATATATTTCAAGGTGTTACAAACGGAATGACAAACTTAATATACCCTCCATACTATGATGGGGTGTATAAAAATGTAAACATATAATTGCATGATTTTACCTCCTTATTGCTACCATAGTTGAAACCTTAAATTTTCCTTTGTCCTTGTTAACATTAATTTATTTAAAAAAATGAATTTATTTTATTTTCCTAAAAATCACAATGACTGTCAATTACAATAGAGGCACCCGCAGCTGCCAGCCGCCAAACCAAGACATGACTTAAAATAAAACTCCGAAAATAGTGGGGAATTAATCCCTAAAGTCAACTATATTTAGTCATTTAACGAACACTTTATTCGCGTTAGCATTAAACCTTAAAATTTTATTCAGAGTAATAATGAACCAAAGTAGATTTTTTTTCTTTTTGTGTATTTTTTAGTAATATGTTTAAATTATTTTTATTTTAAATTAATATCATTAGTCAATTATGATTTTAGACTTTTACATTTTCTTTTGGTAGGCTAAAATATTATTTACAGTAATTAATGGCAATGCATTTACTTTACCTCTAAATATCTTCGAATCATGTTTTTATGACTATGTTCGGTGAGCCCTTCATATCGACTAAGAATTCTGCTGATATATATATATATATATATATATATATATATATATATATATATATATATATTTTCTCTGGTTTTTCGACCTTTTTCGATAGTTAATAAAAACAATTATTTGAGCTTGAGGTCAAACTTTTTGGTTTTTTAATTATTTATTTTTCTTTTTCCAATATTTCGAAGCTCTTTGAGTTTCATCTTCAGGGTGATCTACAAATTAAATAACAAAACATACAACATATTAACATTATCACAGCACAGGACATAAACATGTAAAAAAACGCTTACTTGCAAATAATTAAAATAATAAACTTAAAACTAGCGTAGTGTGACTACTACCGTCAAGTGTTACTATTGCACTGATAATTATTTGCATATTGCACGATCTCTTTTTGTTAAATGCCTGTAGCAGTAAGCTGTATTGTCCGTGTCTGCTTTGCTGTTTATTCTCTTTGTTGTTGATAAACTATTGATGTGAAGCATCTCTATCGTTAGTCTCTTGTTGTAGTGATGTTCCGTTTGTAACACTCTCACGTCATCGATCTTGGGTGTATGGTTGTACTGTTTACAGTGTTCGGCTAAAGCTGTTTTTTGTATCGAATTATTGTTTCTTAATTTGATGTCTGATTTGTGTGCTGACATCCTAGTTTTTAGTTTGTTTTTTGTTGTGCCAACGTAATGTTTTCCGCAACTTTCTTCCTTGTTACCACCACATTCAATTTTGTAAACTACATTATGTTTGTCCATTTTTGGTATTTTACTTTTCATGTTTGTGAATAAAGATTTTGTTGTGTTATGTGAGCTATGTGCTATTGTGTATTTATTTTTGTCATATATTTCTGACTTTTCCAATCTTTCTGATATATTCGGTAAATATATCAGGGATTTGTATATCTTCGGCGGGTCTGTTTTCTGCGAATCTCGACTTGAATGTTTATTCTTATAATAATTTTCAATTAGGGATTTGGTTATATGTAATGGGAAGTTATTATTAATTAGAATGTCTTTTATTTTTAATTTGTTTTGGAAATGAAATTGTTCGTCGCTTATTGTTAGTACTCTATTTATTAAGTTTTTCGCTGTATTGATAATTGTTCGTTTTGTGTGTTTAGAGTAGTAATTTATTATTCTACCTGACGCTGTAGGTTTTTGATACCAATTTATATTTATCGTATTATCTGCATTTCTTATTACTAATGTGTCCAAATATGGGATTTTTCCGTCGCATTCTTCTTCCAAAGTAAATTTAATGTTTTTGTTGAAACTATTTAGTACTGTCAGCGTTTCTTGTATTGCATCTTCCCTTATAATTAAAAACAAATCATCCACGTATTTCGTCAGTATCTTTGGTTTTGATTGTAATCTTTGCAAGCTTTCGTTGAGCAGTGATTCCATAACCAAATCTGCAATTATGGGTGATGCTGGAGATCCCATCGGTAGCCCTGCTTTTTGTTTGTATATTTTGTCATCAAACTTGAAGTATCTATTGTCCTTTATGCAAAATTTTACAATATTCAGAAACATGTCTTTGGTTATGTTTGTATATTGTTCTATTTCTTCCCATCTTTCTTCAATTATATTTAGTCCTAATTCTACTGGAATACTTGGGAACAGTGAGACCACGTCGAATGAAACCATTTTTTCATTATTATTAACTGTCAGGTTCTTTATCTTATCCCTAAATTGCACAGAATCCCTTACGTTGTAAACTGATTTTGTCGTCAAATTATTTAATATGTTTACTATGTATTTGCACAGTTTTATTGACGGGGAATTTATAGACGAACATATGGGTCTTAATGGATAGCCGTCTTTGTGGATCTTTGGCAAGCCATATATTCTTGGGGCAATCGCAATTTCTGTTTTGAGTCTTTTCTTCTCTATTGTCGAAATTATATTATTTTTGAAAAGTTCTTCAACGATATCATTATTTTTCTTTTGAAGGTTTGACGTAGGGTCCTTATTGATACGTTGATACGTCATCATGTCTGAGAGCAGATTGGACATTCTTTCTTTGTAATCATTTTTGTTCATGGCTACAGTCACGTTGCCTTTGTCTGCATTTAGTATTATTATGTCTTTATTTTGGTTAAGAAATTTTCGGGTTCGTTCCACTGTGCCTATCATGTATTTGTCTCTATTGCTCTCTCTGCTTCTATTCATATGTGTTTCCAGCATATTTGTTAATTTTGTTCTTCCCATTTCTTGTTGTTCTTTGTCATTGTTTGTTTGTATGAGATCTTCCGCGTCCGCAATATATTTGAATAAAGGGAAATGTGTTCTTCTTGTTGGTAAGCAGTGTTTGTCTCCTAAGGAGAGTAACCATTTTATGTCATCTGGGAAAGTTTTGTTCGTTTTGTTGACAAACCAATTATCGTTGTGCTTTATGTTGAGTTCCTTAGTCAGTTCTTCTTGTAGTTTGTTGAATTTATTTTTGTGTATTTCGTCATGTTTTTTCTGCGTTCCTGTTATTATGATATTTTCGTTAAACTGAAATTGTTGTCTTTCTTCGTGTGAAAGATTATCGTTTAACTTGTTTTCTATGTCACTTAAAATTTTGTTATTGTATTTCAGGGCTACCGATGGGATCTCCAGCATCACCCATAATTGCAGATTTGGTTATGGAATCACTGCTCAACGAAAGCTTGCAAAGATTACAATCAAAACCAAAGATACTGACGAAATACGTGGATGATTTGTTTTTAATTATAAGGGAAGATGCAATACAAGAAACGCTGACAGTACTAAATAGTTTCAACAAAAACATTAAATTTACTTTGGAAGAAGAATGCGACGGAAAAATCCCATATTTGGACACATTAGTAATAAGAAATGCAGATAATACGATAAATATAAATTGGTATCAAAAACCTACAGCGTCAGGTAGAATAATAAATTACTACTCTAAACACACAAAACGAACAATTATCAATACAGCGAAAAACTTAATAAATAGAGTACTAACAATAAGCGACGAACAATTTCATTTCCAAAACAAATTAAAAATAAAAGACATTCTAATTAATAATAACTTCCCATTACATATAACCAAATCCCTAATTGAAAATTATTATAAGAATAAACATTCAAGTCGAGATTCGCAGAAAACAGACCCGCCGAAGATATACAAATCCCTGATATATTTACCGAATATATCAGAAAGATTGGAAAAGTCAGAAATATATGACAAAAATAAATACACAATAGCACATAGCTCACATAACACAACAAAATCTTTATTCACAAACATGAAAAGTAAAATACCAAAAATGGACAAACATAATGTAGTTTACAAAATTGAATGTGGTGGTAACAAGGAAGAAAGTTGCGGAAAACATTACGTTGGCACAACAAAAAACAAACTAAAAACTAGGATGTCAGCACACAAATCAGACATCAAATTAAGAAACAATAATTCGATACAAAAAACAGCGTTAGCCGAACACTGTAAACAGTACAACCATACACCCAAGATCGATGACGTGAGAGTGTTACAAACGGAACATCACTACAACAAGAGACTAACGATAGAGATGCTTCACATCAATAGTTTATCAACAACAAAGAGAATAAACAGCAAAGCAGACACGGACAATACAGCTTACTGCTACAGGCATTTAACAAAAAGAGATCGTGCAATATGCAAATAATTATCAGTGCAATAGTAACACTTGACGGTAGTAGTCACACTACGCTAGTTTTAAGTTTATTATTTTAATTATTTGCAAGTAAGCGTTTTTTTACATGTTTATGTCCTGTGCTGTGATAATGTTAATATGTTGTATGTTTTGTTATTTAATTTGTAGATCACCCTGAAGATGAAACTCAAAGAGCTTCGAAATATTGGAAAAAGAAAAATAAATAATTAAAAAACCAAAAAGTTTGACCTCAAGCTCAAATAATTGTTTTTATTATATATATATATATATAAAGTTAATATACCATACTTTCCAAGGTTGAGTACATAAAAATTATACCCATTTAAAAAACGAATAATGTTCCATTCAGTGAATCTAATATGATGAATGATTTTCAAACCATTTTTACAAACATCTTCAATAGAATTTTTTGTAAAGCCTCGTTTATTGATGCTTTTAAATATAACGTTTTTGCGTTTCCTTTGACTTGATTTTATCTTGTTGATTTCAGATCTTATCGTTTCATTTGAATTGTTTAGACCTATCAATTTCTGCTACAATAGTTTTCATATCTTCAACGTCGCTCTTTGTAGGTAGATTTTTTATCTTAAGTCAAGTACATGAATATCTTAAATTGGCAGATACGCTTATTTACGAGCTATGCGTAATTCTTAAAACTTGAGTGTATAATTATCGCTTATTTAGTTCAAAATGTAGACAAAAATTATAAAAATGTTAGAATTTAGCATTACAAGGGGGCTACATTTAACGGGGAGAGATATCTAAAGTTTTTAGTAATAAAGAAATAATACAAACGTCCAAATAAAGTTTCAAGTTTCTTAAATTTTACGATATTGAGCGATATATACGGCGGCACAACTTTGTTCATTTTGAATGATATTTCATACAGCATTTGTAAGAGATGTTATTGGCTCCTTGACCAGCATAAAAAAAATTACAACAGTTTATTTGTAAAAATTATAAATTGTCTCTGGGGCAACTTTATTTAACGTTAAATTATTGTTAAATATAATTTCTAAATATAAACTCCCGATGGGACAAGGCTGAAACAGACTATGTAATAACATAGGCATCATAATTGTTGTATCAATGCATAGATTTTTCGTTTGTATTATGTCTCTGCTTGCGTTGGTTTTTCTGTTACATGTTGCTTTCTTATTCGTGGTTGATGTAAATAAGTAATTGAAGAAAGGTAAATAACATGCAAGTGACAACAACAATAATGCAAATTAGATAGTTAGAATGAGAGATCAAAGTCCAACCACTGTTGATCTTAAATTTATTTGAGTGAAAGAAGAATTAAAAGATTAGAATATTAATAGGGATATCAGTTCAGATAATTAATTTTAAAATTAGGTATTAGTCAGTAAGTATTTAAAATTAGTACAAACATAATACTATTTAGGATAGGAATAATTTCAAATAAAAATATATATTGTGTTCTCCAAAATTCCCCCGCACAAAGAACGACTGTTTTTGAGACCATGTTTTGTAGATAGGTGAGGTACTTTATTCAGTTTCTGGGATGATCAAACTATGCCTCTGCTCACAGCAACTCTCATATCGATTTGGGGGGGGGGGGGGGGTTGGATAATGAAAATCTTCTAGGAGCGGTAATTAAGTAATTTTCGAAGCAGGACGTTTGTAGATTTTGCCAGTGGACTTTAGCGAAACCACCCTTACTCCTCCGTCAGCACCAGGGTGAACTTCAGTAATTTGTGCAAGTGCCTATTGTCCTGGGGAATTCTTTCATCAAAAATTATAACCAGATCTCCAACCTCGATGTTATTGGGATGCGACTGCAAGCGGCTAACATATTCGTTTGACCAACGTTTCCAATATTGTTGTTTAAGCAATTGAACAACTATCCATTGAGAAAGTCGATCTATGGTTTTTTCAAAGAGGAAATGTTAGAGCTTCGTAATCTGAGGGTTCTGGTGACATAGGGCAAAGCGGTCTGGAGTTTAGACATCCTTTTATTTGAGCCAGTAATATTGATATTTCCTCATATGTAAGAATTCTATGATTCATTATTCGTTTCAGATGATGCGTCGTTGCCAGCCAGCTTCCTAAAGCCCTCCAAAGTTTGGCGAAGCAGGAGATATAAAATGCCACTTTGTGCCATTATTTATCAGGAGGTTTGAAAGATCTTCAGACATGGATTCGATGCTTCTTCGTCGAAGTATTTTTAGCTCGTCGTTGGAGCCAATGAAGTTTGCGCCACAATCTGAGTAAAGATCAGAACACATTCCACGGCGTGAGGTAAATCTCCTGAATGCTGCAATAAAATCATCGGTAAATAGACTGGGTACAGCTTCGGGGTGCAGTGCTTTGGTGAGCAACCCGAACAGAGGGACGATTGCCCATTATTTGTTGAGCGGATGTGGCTTTATACTTCAAGCAAGTGATACAGTTGCGTTGAACCTTCATTGCCAGATTGCGAGCAGATAAGTTCCAGAATTTTTGGGTTACATACGCTTGTATCAGGATGAGACCACCATGAAGTGTTTTCATATGAACATCTGAAAAAATCTAAAGAGATAGTGGAGTTTGTTTCGATAAAACAATAGGATGTTTAAGATCATAATTAAACTTAAACGCAATTCTGCTTCTGGGATGAACTTTCCCTTCTGCAGTTCTTGTAGTTCAACTCCGAATTCAACATTCTGAAAAAGTCTAATTAATTTATAGTGTTTTTTCAGCTCAGCAGATCTGAAACAGCCAGTAAAACGTTCTTTCAATTTTAATTTACATTGCAAAAAACGAAGGATATACGCAGTAATCCGAAATAATTTTGTTAGAGATTTTAAGCGCAGATTTTCGAACTTCAAGATTTGTTTCGTAGATAGTATCAGGTTGCTGGGGCCACGAAGAGCGATATTGAGAGAGCCAAGTAGGACCGGGCCACCAAGGACCAGTAGACGTAATTCCACGGGAAGCACAATCAGCAGGGTTGTCATGAGTTGAGATATAGTGCCATTGAGATATGTTTGAATATCTTTGGATTTCACTAACTTTGAAAAAAAAAAACGTTCCATCTAGACGACTAACCTCGAAGCCAGCATAAAACTGCAATGCTGTCAGTCCATTTAGCAATATTGATTTCCAGCGTTTTTTGTACATTATGCATAAGTTTCGCTAAAAGTTTTGCTCCACATAACTCCAATGTGCCACAGACAAACCTTTAATGGGGTAACTTTGGCTTTTGACTGCAACAAGTTATCAGAATCTGAATTTCGCCATAATATTTGCTGATATCGTCGATTGTCTTCAACAACATTAATTTGACGGAACATTCTCTCCAAATCTGATCTGAAACCAATTCTAAATCCAATGATTGGTGATAGTTGACAAGTCATCTTGCAATGCAGGTCCAGGGAAAATTTCCTCATATAAGGAAGAAGAAGGGGGTCTTTTCCTGCTATCGTCGAAAACCACGCGCATTTTCGTCGTTCAACTGGTTTCACGAACAACACCATGATGAGGCAGAAAATAACCATAGGATTCAATGGATTCTGGATAGGGACGGATATATATGATATGACCTAGCGAGTAATATTCCTCCATGAATTTCTTATACTCAATAGCAAAATTTGGTTCTTTGGTAAATTTTACTTCAACCTGTTTTAAACGCTTTAAGCCACAGAAGACACTGTCATTCAATCACAGTGAAAGTAGGAAAGTCTCAGTAGGGGAACATTTGTCATATATTTGTTATTTGAAGGGCAAGGCAATAGTATACCTTCCATGGGTTTTCTTGAAAAGCTCCTTACAATTTATTTCTTCCTGTGTCAGGTTCCTGGCTTCAATAACTTCTTCCTATTATTAAAATGGTCTTAATTATATTTCTAAAGAACGCATATTAATATTAAATTTCTTGGAGTATGAAATCTCAGAAGTGGGACCGGAAACTATCCATCCAAAATGAGTAAGCTGAAGGAAAATAACCTTTTCAAACTTCTTCTATGAGGAAGTAAAAAACCTTCATACATATCGCCACCAATGAGCAAATCTATTTCGTTGTTGTTATCGAAATCTGGGTCAGCTAGACTGAAATGTTTTAAAGTGGGCAATTTTGGTTTGTCCACAGGACCAAGACAATAATTATTTAATGATGACATTACATACGCTTGACTTTCCATTTCAAAATCATTCTCACAATGAGAGCCCATATTAAATTTCCCAAATTTTCGTACAATTTTATTGTCTCCAAATACACCTGTGATTCAGGCAAATGTGTTGTATTTTTAAGACGCAAGAGCTGAGAGGCACTTTCTGTGATTAACGTAGCTTGGGCTCCTTGATCCAAAATGCATCTTAAATTTAAATAACCAGGCTGGCATTTGACTACAACACGCATATTTGCTAGTAAAACATGTGGTTACACAACAGTGCTCAAATAAGACAAATTAATGTTAGAGGTCTCAACAGAAGAAGAAGAGGCTTCATTCTCATTTCTGTTATCAGGAACACTGGAAACATTTGATGTGTTGCGAGAGTTATATTCATTGTGGAGGCAAGGTTACACGATTTACATCGACTTGTTTTTCTACAGTCCTTGGAAAAATTTCCGATGTTTAGACAATTTCGACATATTTGCTTTGAGTTAATTAACTCCTGCTTCGAGACAGATGGCAAAGCGGCAAATTTAACACATTTATATAAAAAATGGCGTTTACCACAACATGGGTGGTAGACACTATATTGATAGACACCATATTAATACGACGGTTTTGAGGGACTCTTTGTAATTAGTTTCGGAAGAACCATAAGATTTCAGGATACTAAGCAACTTTCGCAGAAATGTATCAGTTATTTTTCCCTTATTATGATTCCTTTTTTCTAAAGCAGCCCATGCAAAATCGTAGCCATTGACAATGAACTATTTCTGCAAGAGTTTTTAAAATATAAAATTTTTGACCGTGCACGAGAGCAATGAACACGTCCCGGTAGAGATCCAAATAATTCAAATAATCACCCGAAAAAGTTTGGATATCGATTTTGGGAAGGCGGACGTCGAGATAAAATTATATATGGGAGCTATATCCAAATCGGAACCGATCTCGATAAAATTTGTTCGATCCGTTGTTATGGAGTGCATATTACGGCTGTGGGTAACAAATATAACAAAACGGATGAACAGTATATATGGGAGCTATAGCTATATCTGAAGCGATCTTCACCAAATTTGACATACTAGCTTCTAGACTCAATTCGGTCGTTCATTCATCCCATTTGGGCAAATATT